CATTTGTTTTTGTTTTTGTCAATGCAATCTGTCGACGTCAACATATTTATAGCGCCATTGTGAATTACTTGTCAGTTTATGACGTAATATTACGATCGTTTCAATACGAATCGATGTCGTCTTTTAGGCACTTGACGGGCGATGAGTTCGGCCGCGCGTCCGTCCAGCGGCGGTGGGGGCGGCGGGATTCGCGGCTTTTTCTCGAAACTTAGAAAACCATCCGATCAGTTCATGCAGGTAACCCCTTCGATGATTTATTATTTTTACTCCTTTTGTTTCAGTTTGTTTCGATTTTTATTCCGCACTGTTGTTTTCATACTTTACCCAACCCCCACCCCACCCTCCCCCTCACCCATCCCATCATGCCAAGTTGCTTAGAAAAGATTAGATCTTGTTCAGGCCATTGCATTTTTTTGTATGTTTACGATGAGGGGGAGGTTGGAAGCCATATAAGACCAGCCATATAAACTAGCTTGCGTGTTATTATGCAGCGTGCAGGAATGCATTCCATTGGGTAAATAAATAATCAAATAACAATCACTTCAAAAGCAGTAATACTAGTTGACGGCGCAGTGCATCTGAGATTTAAGTATATTGGATCTTTTTGCCTAACGTTGGTACCTTTCACCTAAATTTTGGAAGTTGATGCAAGTTCGAATATTTTCTGGAATGCTATCATAAATAAATCATTCTGGCATACTGGACTCCATCAATTAGGGGAAAACTCAACAAAACAGCTTGCAACCTTGCAAACGCTGTGATCACCTTACAATTATGTCTGGGAATTGTGACAGATTGTCCGGTGTTATGGCTTGCTCAGGTGTTTTTACTAGCATCTATTACCACATGGTTGAGTGGTGCAAATAAGGCATTCGTAAACGGAAATGCGGCATGGCGGCGGCGGCACTCCCTCAGGGTTTTTTCGATAGCAACATTGCACGTCGATTGCGATGCTACTTATTTGCATTGGATGGCGGCGGCGGAGGGAGTTGCAATGAAGTCGTTTTGATATTCATTCCGAGAACGATTAACAAAGGGCATTGTCTAAGATCATAAAAAGCCCACCACTAAAAAGTTGAAGGTGCTCTCAGTGAAAAACTCTTTTCGACAATGTCCATCATCCGATACTCACATGATTGGGTGGGTGGTCCCACATGCTCAGGTCTCTTCTTGGCCCTCACGTCCCGCGTGATAGTTTTCTGTAAAACCACAAAACGTCCTTCTATATCGCAAAAATATTGTGAAGAACTTTACGGTCGTTTTTTCCTTCGTTACTGTACAGATAAGATCTGATCCATCATATAGACGTTATCTATGTATACGTAAAAGGTAAATAGTGATAATCGGCTTGAACACTTGTTTATATCAATATTTGGTGCAGCCATTCTGCCGTCGCTGACCTATGAATACACTCTGTCATATAGTGGGTATAAACATAGGACCGCTCGTTATGGCAAGGGTAACTTTACTACAATGGGTATGTGACTGTGCACGAATTATCTGAGGAGCAGCCTTTTTGTTTGCACTGAAGTGCTCTCAATAAACACAGAGAACGACTGCTGCTGAAGTGGCAGTTGCAGACTTTTATTGTTCAATTGTTGTTTTTCTTGGTAAGACAACAGTAAACATCCTTACGATTTTGTTTTTCTCAGGATAGGGCGATTTGGCATGAGTCCCAAACCTTCTCAACCCCATCGCTCAGATGGCGGTGGTCGGGAGGAGGACATCACCGTACAGTTGGCAGTAATCGATAAGTGACTAAACGAAAACTGGAAGCAGGCCATTGCCCAAGATGATTGAGTTTCCCTTCCTAAAGTCATTGGGCTGCAAGATATGGCCACATCAATTATTCACCGTATGTAGCGCCATAATAAATATCCATAATGAGCAATTTCCCATGATTACAGTCGTTAGGCAAGCATTAACGCAGCCATTCCTGATTGTTGCTACTTTGCGATGACTAGAATCCTCATTAGAGGCATACAGGCATACGGCGAATCGTCCTTGGATAGCCCTTGTCTGTCGCTGCTTCCTTCCCTTTCTTCAACAAACAACGGAAATTGAATGAGCGATACGACGCTGCCAAACCTAACTTTCTAAACATATATCCGGAAGGAACAAGGCATTTGGTCCTGCAAACAACCACAATTACCCTCCTTCCCTTCCTGCCCACAATACTCTGGCTGTTTTTGCTGTAGCTGAACAGCTCGTGACAACCGTCTGGGTACCTCCAACCCATGGGAGCTGACCCTGTCGCCAGCCGGCAAGAGCGCAGAGTGAAGAGGCTGTGGGGCAGAGACGCAGGGGCGGCGCTCGTCGAAGGCCGCCTGCAGTTGTTTTGTTCTTTTGCCACATTCAACTCTTCGAACCCTTGGGCCAGTTCGTCGCTACATTGCCCAAATTAACGTCTCCATGTTTGGACGAACTCTTTACAATGGAGTGGTTAGTTGTTTTCCACTCGTTTACTTGAAAAACACGGCTGTTTTGGGGCGTTGTGGTGCTATTTCCTGTGAAAGCTGCAGCTCTGTCGAGATTTCTCCTTTGTTGTGATTGAGTTGAAAATAAAAAGCGCTAAAGTTGACAAAAATAGCTGCTCATCCTTAAAAGTGAGCAATTGTACGTATTGAAAGGGACGTGTGGTGTGAGGAATAACTTTTACTGCGAATCGCTTCAATTGAGTAGAATGTTGGTGGTTATATAGCAGTTTCGATCCATTCATTTGTTATTCACTCTTCAGGTCTCTAGAGATCGGCATATAGAATAGAAGGTGCCCGCTCGGGCTCATCAATACTTCCCCCTCCTCGAGCAGCTGCCAAAATCTCATTTTGATTAGGCGAATCAATCAGTCATTTCCCGAAAAACTGAAACAAGACAAACACTCGTCAAACATTTTTAACCTTTCAAATGACTTCCTGTCCAGCGAATCAAAGCTCAAAGGAATTTAACAGCTGTTCTCATTTAGTAGTATTCTTGTTAAGTTTCAATTGGAAAAGGTAATTGTTGCAGGTCCAAGTGGGCTCTCGCACATTTGAAGCGCAAGAATTGCAGAAGCTGATTCCACAACTTGAAGAGGCTATTCAGGTATTTAGTTTTCCGATGTAACCATGTACTGCAAATAGTCGGAACTAAATTCATAGCCTTCATTTTCAGCGAAAAGATCAACAGTTGAAAGCGCAGCAAGGAACCGTTGAGAATCACATTCGACGAATTGCTGAGCTTGAAGCGGAAGTAACATCACTGCAGGTGATTTTTGAGTGTTTATTTGCCCCTTCGGCTTTCAGCGGAAGCGTCGCTCTGTCTTGTCAGATTAACGTCATCCTATCTCGTATTCATGTGCTTTCTCTTACAAACAACCTGACTACCCTTGGATACGCCGTGTTCGGAAGCCCTCCCTGCAGGGTTATTTATAGAAATATTTAATCGTAGCACTTCTTACACTTGTTAATGTCGTCTCTCTTTCATACACACTCTTTTCACACCCTCCTCATATAGATTAATGTTTCCTGTAGTGCATGAATTGCATGTCGCCCTCGACTGCAAAGAACTTCATCTTCAGGCATGGGGGTGCAGTTTAAAGCTATATTGCTTGCCATCACGATCTCTTCTAAAGCAAAAAGTGCAAGTCTTATTTATTCATTGTTTTGCGAATGCCGCAGCGCGTGATATTCCAACGGTTTAATCCTCAATAACAAATTATTTCACATGAGAAATTCTGCGAAAGAGCTTATGTTTCTGTGTATCCTTCTTCACATTTCGTGTATAAGCGTTTTTAACAAGAGTGCATATTAGAAAAGTTACTGGAAACGGGATCTACTTTTGCGGCCTGTGAATGAAGTGGTGTTACGGTAAAGCTTGTTCCTTTTCGTGAGACATTTCACTTAATACTTAATTGAGATTGTAATGTCGTGGCCTTTTTAGAATTGTTCAGAGAGAAAAGCATAATCTGGTCATCAGGTAGAGATAGTTTTGATTCCCACTAACAATCATTTCTCTTCAAAAGCAGCGATATTTCAAATCCCTTTGCAGCGCAGCGTATCCATATTGCGGTGAAGTGTTCCTCCATCGACTTCACTTTGTTCTCTCAACATCACGACAAAACTGGTTTCTTTTTGCAATCGTAAACAGTCAATGCGTATACCTCGACCTTGGCGTACCACTAGCGCTTATGACACTTCATCGCTAAACCTTACTCGTCTGATAGTACGAAATTGATCGTGTTCGAGGAATTCAAAATGGATACTCTAGTGCTCTTTTGGGAAATAATTTGAGCTCGAGCGTAGTGCAAAAGTGAAAAAGTAAAACTGTCTGGCTCTTTCTGGAAATGAGAGAAAGTGCAGTTTTTTTNTTTTTTTACTTCCAGTTGAACGAGAAACATTTTCGATCGAGTAGAAAACAAGAGATCAATCATAGTAGGGTGTTTACTACCTGAAAAGTGTTTAGCTGATGGTTAGATTGGTGGCAAGGCGACGAAAATGTGCAAAACAGACTGTAATAAAAACATTGATTGTGCAGAGTCAACATTGTGTTCGACAGTATTTCATCAGTGCCTGTGAATTACAAAATTCATACACAATAGTGAAATTCTATCGGACACAATGCCCATTTCTTTGGGACACTGCTACACGGTATTTAGTCCAGTCCTACTTCGTCCGGGTCCTCAGGAAAATTCGCAAATAGAAATATTGCATATGCCGTGCTCGGCTGTGGGAAGCTCCATTGACTAATAGCACGGTCTTGAAGGTTGCGACGATTCTGCGCCGAAATCGTCATTATAAATCAATCTTTCATGGTTTTGGATTGGAACGGAAAGAGCTCATGGAGCGCTCAACTATGAAATGGAGCGAAAAAAANCGTAATTTCTCTTTCAAAAGCCTTTTATGGTGAATGAAAAGTGGCTGCCATGATTAGGATATTCATTTCCCAGATGCAGGAGGCTATTTTTCCGCTTCAAAAAAAGGATATGTCCCGGAGAGCTTTTGCATGTGTGTCATTGATTAAAGTTGAGGCGATGTGTCCATCGCTGTATGAAATGCAATCCATTATTCGATGCGGAAGTCCAAAACGCATTTTTGCACGCTTTTGGCTTCCGCCCATGCACTTGCCTTCAATCACACTCGTCGAGTGGTTAGCCAAAAAAAAATTTATTGCACAGAAGCGTGTTGCAGTGCAATTTTGATATTTCTGCCAAACATTTACAATAGGGGGTTTGATATGTTATGGTTTTCTGAGCGAAGATTGACTTATCGGTATTGATCCCTATGTCAATACACGAAGGTCGAAGCTTTGGTTTGTCTGCGGGGTGCTTTGGGCATGTAAAAGAATGAAGTTCAATCTACGAGCGGGCCGCTTGTTGCGCTTGATGCAGGTGGTGCCGCCTAGCAAAGTGAGGTATCGGTATCGATCGCCGCACGCGTACTTCATCCGTTGCGGCATACCCGTTGTGCACGTTGTGGTCGCAACAGCGCATATAATTCACATCAGGAACTATGAATGCTGCCTCAAAATTTCCATTTGTGCTCGTACGGTAAGAATTCGACTTTTTCAGTTCTTTACAGAAAAAAAAATCGGAATTTGTGGAGCTTAGGTCATGAGACATGCAATCCAAAAAGCGGTGTTTGTTGAAATTGTCATTATTTGTTCCGTAAAATGAAATACATTCATCTATTCAATAAGGTGCTGTATTCGTTAGTGACATTTTCATTGATATGTAAATGAATGCTTTTCTTTCATTGTGAAATGGGGCAGTTATGGTAGCTGTATCCTTCAAGGCATCAACGAGCACATTTTGGAGGGAAGACGTTTACCGTTATACAGCAGAGAGTCAGACGTCATAAATCTGTTGAAAATGGTGAAGCTACTTATCAGTAATAATAATAGTGCAATCTCCTCTACTGCCTCTACAAAGCAGGCTCCCTGTTACATGGACGTCAATATCACCTTGTGTTTCACTGTCACTGTATCATTCAAATGATAACTGATGTGGTTGCCACTGTGGGGGCCGATACCCTGTGTGTGCGATTGTGGTTTTTGTCAGAATCCCCTAATTTTTTTTAGAAGTGATGCATACCTTTTGCTTCCAGTCAGTGGTTCCGAGAGTCAGCGCCCCGCTCCAACTGGCGCTAATCTGAGGAACGTTTACTTGGGCCGCGTTTCTGATTGCACAACTCATTGTTCCTTGCGGGGTGCATCGGTAAATGTGGAGGAGCACAGCTTGGCGTCAAAGCTCAACGTTCTCAAAAAGCATAATGACTAACTCTGGATGGTTTTTTCTGCTACTTGTTTGGTTGACTGTATTTACTTCATGCTCTAAGGCGGTAGTTAATCTAGAAAGTTCATTTTCAGCCATTTTTAGCCATGTTCTGGGCAATTTGGTAGGTTTAGTGAAAGCGTATTGCCTTTGCACGTCAAGCTGTTGGGATGCTTTGGTGGAATCACATGGTGGTATGACAACAAAGTCTTTTGTTGTTGTTATTCTTTCTTCGATGCCTCTCGAAGCATCTGCTTGAGTTTGTTGCCACAGTTGCCACTATCAGTGGTTTCTTAGAATGAATAAAAAGAATCTCTTCTGGGTTGGCTAGTCGCACGCAGTGTTTGACGCGGTAGTCGTCAAAGGGCCATAAAAAGGAGAGCCCTCTTGCTTTGGTAGATTTTTGATCATTTGGGCAAGGGCATCATAGATCTACTACAGCTGCCTTCGAATGCCTCGCAAAGAAGCAGCACGTTCCCTGTGCCGTTGAGGCTCTCAACAACATCGCCCATTATGACTATGAATTCATTAAATCCTTTGTCCAGAGGAATTTTAAATGTTCTAAGTTTGCTTTTTCGTAAAGCGTCAAGTTCCATTTGTGAGGCTACTTCGTGTTAGCCACTTTGGATCCACGTTTTACCAAAGGGGTGAGCGAATGCGGCAGTTCGAAGTTATGAAAATTGGGAGGCTGCTTTGTTCCCGGTCCTAGCCTAGCTCTTAGCTGGTTTCTAAGCCTACTATTAGATGAGAATTTACCATGTTGATGCAGTCTCTGTCGAAATCAGATTACCTGTGTGTTCAAGCGCCTTTTCAATCAGTCAGCCCTCACTGTGGAATTTTTCTAAATTTCATTATTTTGCGAATTTGTTAGATTTTGACCGTTTTCGAGAGAAAGAAAATCTTTTCCGTTTTTATGCAGAAACTCTAGAAAGATTATGTAAAACCGAAGATTGCGGTAGTTTGTTAGCTGCAATTTTCCTCGGTTAAAAGTCTGAGTTTTTTTTTTCTGAAGTAATTTTGATTGCCTCGAATTCGCTTCTCGTCAAAGGCATTTTTCATTCTGAATGCCCCCAGTACTTGCATGGCATCTTAAGCTTGTATTAGCAATTTGGTGTTGAATTATGCGCTCAAAGGACGTCCGTTTTTCTTTCGGTGAAGTTCGGAGTTACCCCTTGCCGCTCATGAAGTAATACAAGGGAATAAAGTATTCCGATATTTAACAGAGCATTGCAGCAAACCAATCAGGGGCTCAAAGCACTACGTATACCGGCCACTACCAGACATTTTTTGGCAATACCATCAATTTATTCATGTAAAGCAGAGATTACTCCCGCATTAAAACGTAGCGTGAAAGGCAACATTTTTTGAGTCCGAAAGGTCCATGATCCGTTCTCTCGGAGGGGAGACCGCTGCTCATGGAGTGACTATAGGATTGTATTTTCAAAGTGACAGTTGAAACAGAGAACGATAGGCCAACTTTGGCTGGTGTGGCTCTGCGGAAATCTTTGGGGAGGGGGGAGGTTTGCTGAAACTACAAAACTTGATTCTGGTGGCTCATTACCGCTCTCAAAACACCGTGGAGCCTATCCCTGGCTTCTCACCCATTGTTTGGTGCTCTATGGCTTCCAAATGGATTGAATTTATTATCATGGAACGTTGAATTTCGATGTCAAAGGTGAAAGTTAGAGAAAGGAGGGGTAAGCCTATCTTGGAGTAGAATGCAGTGACCTCTTCTAGTACCAGTGGTGATATGGCTATTACTTTTTACACAAGAAACTCAGGATAGTGCTCGCTTGGGATATTTACTCCTAGAAAGAGTGCTGGTGCAGTATACCTGAGTAATTCATACGAGTCGAAGTTCCATTATCTCTTGGTAATTAGGACTGTTGCAATAGTATGTTTCGATTTTTTTTTCTGGTGGGAATCCCAGTGAAGTCGACTTCATCACGTCTGACGATTTGGGGAAGGTCAACGGGAAACTTGTGCTGTTGTGTCGGCTGATTCACGAGCATTGCATTTTCTTGAAGATCCCTTGGTTTCACTTTTGTCGTGCCATTTGAGTCCTTCTCTCTACCTCCATCGGTATACATTCCTCGGCGGTATTATTACACTTCCTGATCTCCGTCGGCACAGTTGAACCGGTTTCTCACCTTCCTACCTATTGTTAAGGGAAATCTTTGTTGTTTGGTTTTACTGTTTGCACAAGTATGACGATTCTACTTCTATGAGGTTTTTACTTTCTCTTTTCCCTACAAGTGCTAGTTTTTTCTTTTCATCATGTAAAGAGTGTTGAGTTCTTTTCACTTCTAGATTTCTGCATGCGTGTAACTAGGCTATTTACTAGTTGACGTGCGTTGCAGTCTTTTGCCAATCTTACGTCAGACCCTATTATTCACCTTTTTTACTACTTCATGTTTCTAGAACACCAAACTGAGCTGTGAAGGCCATGAACTAACAAGTGCTGTAGCCTCATGACTCTCTCGCTCTACAAAATATCGCCACTTATCCATTTGTTCATCGGTTCCCTCGACGCATTGTTTTCGAAATACCTAATTGTATTATACTGCACTGGGGTACAGGTTTGCTGTGATGGGTTCTCTTTATTCAGTCAAGGTTCCGAACAAGTCGTCGTCATCGCTGAGGACCTAGAATTTAATAGTTCGAATCTGTCAGAATCTGTGAATCTGGTTAACTGACGCACTACGCCATTTGCAACAACCCCAAGAGAACGATCCCGAACCTGAAAGTTCACAGCCATTCAGAAAACATTTTGTGGTTTTATCAGCACTGATGCTTCACTCGAACATGTGAATAACAAGGAACTAGTGAAACACCGCTAAAGATCGTAAGATAAGGAATAAGCGGTGGCTTCTAAGCCCATAAAAAGGAATGACTGCTCAAAGTCAGATCCCTGGTGACGATTATTTGCTCGAAAGGTCTACCAAATAGAACGGGTCTACTTTGAAGAACCTGTACCACAAAGCAGTGTAGGACATAGTCAACATCTTAAATTTCAAGAAGATCCAACGTGAGCTTACAACAAAATGTTATTTTCCGCAGTGAGCACCGATAATCGTCAATATGACTGTTGAACTAGTGTCTTTGTCTTTTCTAACGCTGAGCATTATTTACTTTTTATTCTTTGTTGAGTCATACCGCTATAATTTTCTTGAATTGCGGTTTTTTAATCTCCCAATGCCATTCATGCTTTCCCTTTTGATACGCTTCAATTGAAGCGTATGGTTCGTTTACGCTACCCAAGCGTCACCGAATTCATGACTCATCAATTCCCCTTTCCTATCACATTCCACTCGCTCCAGCGTTTATAAGCTCCTATATTTTCTTGCTTTACCTCTGTTAAAGTCAGTCTATGGGCGATAACTAGGTGCTATCATTTCTCGATTGAACTTCCTTTTTCCAGAAAGTTACTTGGAAAAATGAGACAATATGTTTCACAGAATCGGAAAATGTATTGTCATCCTAAGTGCAGTAGTCTGAGATGTAGCGCTTTGAATGATTGATCCCATTAGGTGCCTTGTTTTCGTCTCGAATGAGTTATTACATCAGGTGTCTTGTTTTTTTTTTATTGCTACCACTTTTCTCCGATATTTTCACTTTCACAGAAAGTTTACTGTAGTATTTCAGCGAGAATGCGACAAATTGCGTTCTGTTTTGGAACAAAAAGCGCAATCAGCGGCCAGTCCTGCAGGTGGAGCTGCCCCCGCGTCCCCGCGGTCCGAACAACTTGGGAATGACTTGAAAGAGGTTGTTTCTCAGATACAAGGGATCTTCCTTCATACATATCTACAGTTGGCTTCTTCAAACCAAATGGAAGTTTTCAGAAGGCTGTACTCCCCGCGGATGGTGCCAGCACACGAGCCAAAAAGTTGGCAGTTTCTGCGGAACCAACAAATTTCGAAACCCAGGCTACCACGTTACAACACTTCCACAAGACTGCGGGGTTCGTTCTATGTTTTCGTTTTTTCTTTCATTTGTGCATTTCATTTTATCCCATCTTAATTTCTGGTCAAAGCTTTTTCTAACACTGGGACATAAGTATTATATTCTATTTGTATTCCCCCTTCCTGGATATGCATAGCACTTTTGCACACGTTACCGTTTAATGCTCTCCTAACGGAAAAAATCTGCGCCTGTGCGCGTTCCCTTTCTGTCATCGCTGCAAATTCTATCGTTACCAGTTTTCGTCGCTAGCGATACTGCGCGCGTGACTCAGAACTCGATAATTACTACTGATGAATTCTGTGAATGTTAAGATCGCCGTTTGCACCCATTCATTAGGATGCTTAACGCATTATCGGCCTACTGCGTGGGGAATGATTATTTTGATTGTGATTAGTGCATGTGATCGATGGCATTGTGCCAAAAATCAAATATTGTTCTCTTGATTTCTATAAACTCTGTAACCCTACAATTTCAATGGGAAATCTAGAACTGCTCCTGTGTTCCCCCGGATCTAATGGTATGGATTTATTTAAATTACTGGTGCATTGGAGTTTTCCCCCCATTCTCCCGAATTCAATACTTTGGAGGTTTCAACGCTCTGTGGCTAGAGAGAAGTAATCTCGAGTGCCTAATAAACCACACTGCGAAACATCATTTGTATCTATTGACTTTATAGTGACCGAATAACCGAATACCGTTCTTGATGACCCACTATTTATGTGAACTGAACGGCTGAAGTGTGACGGATCACCATTTTTGTTGTAGACTGAGACACACATGCACGCATATGTTCTTAACCAATTGATAGTGTGCAGCGGTGTAATTCCTGCTACGTTCTCTATAGTCCTGCTGAAATTGGTATAATTTTGAAGATGAAGCAAATTATTGGAATACTCCCTTTTGCTGGGTTTTCTGAGAATCTGGTACCCACTTTTCCAATGTCGCTTCATTCGACGGTAATTTTGACTTAAGAGTGTATTTGTTGTTGCAAAATATCTATATTTCTGTGTTTCAGTTCGAAGCAGCTGATTCGGGATGCAGTACACAAAAACGACTTCTTGAAACAGCTGGCTAAGGAGCAAATTATAGAAATAGTAGAATGCATGTATGAAATGCGGGCACGAGCTGGACAATGGGTGATTCAGGAAGGAGAGCCGGGAGACCGGTTATTTGTTGTAGCAGGTGAGTGACAGTTTAATTGATTATTTTTGCTTTTCATAAAAATGTTTCTATTATCAGTGTTAAAATCAGTGATCGCTTTTTATTGCGATCGCAGGGCTTAAACCCAACATTTACTCTCGTAGATGAGTACATTTTCGTTTTCTACCTTACTTGGTGGAATCTGTAGTGCATTTCTGTCATGGGAAAAAATTACGTAAATTATCGGTTTAGTTAGAACCTGTTTCGATGTACTTCCTATCTTCGTTTTTGCGCAGTGTCAATTTTTCATTATATACGACATTTTGGAGGTCATTAAATTATGTTTGCAGAGGGAGAATTGCAAGTTTCTCGAGAAGGGCAACTGCTGGGAACGTTACGTCCCGGAATCGTGATGGGAGAACTTGCCATTCTTTACAATTGTACTAGGTTGGTATTTCAATAAATGCTACTATGAACTTTCAATTACTTTCCCGAAAGAAAGTGACTAACCTTTGCCTGTCACTAAGCTAAACATCGCAAGGCAACCACCTATTGAAACGTGAACGAATTTACATCTGCGCGCCCAGCATCGGCAAGAGGCGGGGGCATTAGATCATCACTTCGGTCCGTGCGCCCTGGGACGGTCGGCGGATGTGCGGACAGAAGTTGTGCGTCAGGTAGATGACCCACAGCTACTGATGAGCAGAATCGAATTGACTCATCTTCATGTCAACGTGTAACTTCGCTCGTCTGTCAGCACGCAATTTTTCGCGTGCATTCCGCCGGTTATACCATCGCCTGACTCGTCCCTTTGGAAAGTGAGCGCTCTCCTGTCACTTTGTACCTTTTTCGGGACATTAACGGCAGTCGATTTGGATGAGAAAAACGTAGTGATTGCGCGTTGTCGTCGAAGCATTGCTATTTCTGTCACACTCTATCAGACAACGACGCGTAATTCGATTATTTCTTAGACGTAAACCGTTTCATCCCATTGTAGATGCATCAAATTACCTTTGACGTATGCTCATGGGATATATTTTTCTATTGAAGGACAGCGTCTATACAAGCGCTCACCGACGTGCAACTATGGGTGTTGGATCGAAGTGTTTTCCAAACAATAACGCAACGGCTCGGGATGGAAAGGCATACGCAGCTGATGAACTTTCTCAGCAAGGTAATGAGCCCATCATTATTTTTTTTACTGAAGGCCTACGTGATTGGTAAGCTTGCTCTTCATAAAGATATCGGTGGGCTTTTTCTATTTCTCAAAATGGAGTGCTTATCATTGAATCATTTTTATCGGTTTCGTATTTGGCCCCTTTTAAAGCCGTTTGTGCATTAAGCAGATAATAAAGTTGTGGGGTCATTTTCAAAATGTACTTAATGTCCATTATTTGTTTACTGCCGTCATCATAAATAAAAAGGCGAATGTGGTCAGCTTCCTTTTTCTACGCGATAAGGAAGGCAGGATGGTAATCGGGTGACGGATTTGCCGTGTCGTTTTGAAGCCGTTCTCCTCTAATTCTCTCCGTCCAGAGAAGAATTTTGTCTGAGCCTTTCAAGGTTACTTTTTTAAAAACGAGTAAACCGGAAGGATAAAGTGGAATGAAGGCGGAATGTCTGACAGAATTTCTTGATGTTGTCGCCTATATATGGATACCCATTGGAATAACCCTGATAATTTGTTTCTTCCATATGGAGAAGCAACCAGTAAGAACCTTTCCATAAGTAGGTGGCCACTATTACTTGCTGAAGATATTTTTTCAACTATTTTAGGTGTCCATATTCGAAAACTTGTCCGAGGATCGCATCTCGAAAATGGCGGACGTAATGGATCAGGATTACTATGCTGCAGGGCACTATATTATTCGCCAAGGAGAAAAGGTTAGTCAGCGCCAGTTCTTCTTTTGGCTACCTTATTGACTTTTCTTCGCTGTAGTTCTGTTGTGGAGAATAGGCTGTTACCAAAGTTTTGTTCAGGGTGATGCATTTTTCGTCATAAACAGTGGTACAGTGAAAGTGACGCAACTGATAGAAGGCGAAACAGAGCCACGTGAGATCAGGATATTGAATCAGGTACGTCCCTTTTCGAAGCTGCTTCTACCTTGCCTTTGGTTAGCCTGAACAGTGAGTTTGTTTAGGGAGATTTCTTTGGCGAACGGGCTCTCCTCGGAGATGAAGTACGTACTGCGAACATTATAGCACAAGCACCTGGTGTTGAAGTACTCACCTTAGACAGGCGAGTTTCATTGAAAAGTGGCTTTTTATTGAATGGATTAGCACCCATTTCTTAATCTTTTCTATTTCAGAGAATCATTCCTCAAACTAATTGGTGACCTTGAAGCATTGAAACGAGATTATGGAGATAAAGAACGGTTGGCACATATTTCAATAGAACCACCGAGTCCCACAAAGGTATGGATTTTGGAAGGCTTTTCCTTGTTCTTTTTGGCCTTTGTCATGTGCCCGATACTGTGGCCTTTCTATATGGCATACATTTATCTTCAGGATATTATTCGAGAAGAATTTGCCCACGTCCAATTGAAGAATATAAAACGGTTAGCAACGTTAGGCGTAGGAGGATTTGGGCGTGTTGAATTGGTAAGCTCTTTACTATCTATCTCAATTTTTACAACGAGCGAGACCATTTCAGGTTTGCATTAATGGTGACAAATCCCGAACTTTTGCACTGAAAGCATTAAAAAAGAAACATATCGTAGACACACGGCAACAAGAGCACATTTTTGCAGAGCGAAATATTATGATGGAGACCAACTCTGAATGGATAGTAAAGTAAGCTTGTTTAGGTTGTTGTTAGTTCAGCTATATAAGGCTTAAAGCATTTCAGATTGTTTAAAACATACCGTGATACCAAATACGTGTATATGCTTCTCGAAGTGTGCTTGGGTGGAGAGTTATGGACAACCTTGAGAGACAGAGGTCACTTCGATGACTACACCGCTCGATTTTATGTTGCCTGCGTGCTCGAAGGATTAGAGTACCTTCACAGAAAACATATAGTGTATCGTGATCTCAAGCCGGAAAATTGCCTGCTCACCAACACGGGATACCTCAAACTAGTAAGTACTTCTGTTGAAAGCATTCGCTTTATCTCAGCAATTCGTGCTATCCAATTTGTTTAGGTCGATTTCGGGTTTGCTAAGAAATTAGCGTCTGGTAGAAAGACGTGGACCTTCTGCGGAACACCAGAGTACGTGTTTTTCTTTTGCCTATCAGAATATTTCATTCCTTTATTGGTCCTCACAGGCTTTCATATCTAACTAGACTACAAATCGAACAATCTAATCTTTTCGTGAGACTTTCAATCATTCTTTCAGCATTTTATTATTTGCATTATAACATTGTGATATACCCTTTTTAAAGGAAATGAGTGAGAATAGCAATATACATAATAAATTTTATTTATTTTTTATTTTTATTTTTATTTATTAACTTATTATTTATTATTTTTATTTTATCACTGATTATCTGTCTACAGTTGACTCGCTGAAAGCGACACCACATCCGGGGCCAAAGTTAATAAGTAATTGTGCTTTGATTATTGTTTTCCTTTGGGAGGTTCATCGAAATAAGGTGCCATGGGTTACAACAAAGCCTTTGTTTGCCATCTCCAAATTGGGTAGTGTTCAAGTAGAAAAACTGGCCACCGGCAACTATATTTCACTGCAAGTTTTTTTTTACGAAATTGATTCAATTAAACGGTGGACGAGCCAAGGACGATGTAATAATTAGTCCTGGTGTAGATTTGAGGATAATGAAAGCGTTGATATGGAGTAAAGAGGATAACTAGTGGTTTCCCTGCGTGAATCTATACGTTGAATGAGTTCCCTTTACTTGGGAATTCGTGTGATGGAGCAGCTGACAATGTTTGATCATAAGGGTGTTGTGCCCTGTGAGGTCTACAAAAGCTGCGGCCTCCATCATTCGTACTGCAAAGTGCGGCGATAATCAGCCGTTTTCTAAACAATGCACTATCCAAAAAGTATTTACGCAATTTTATCTGATCGTAATACTGAACTTTAGGCCATTACTGCATCAATATCTTTGACAGAGTCGTTCAACTTATAGCCTTTAAAAGTGCGTAATTTTAGTGGCCAATAAAATTGAGTGTGGAATTTAGTCCGATAAGAACTGCATCATTTTGCAGCGGGCAAGACCATTCTGAGGGGATTACTCTGCAGCTGGCTGCAAGGCCTGTTTGTTTTTTTTTTTGCTTTGTTGTGACGCTGCAGCTGCACGGACTGGTTTCAATGCTTGAATCGATATGACTAATGACTAGCCAATGCGGCTCTATCTTTAACTATGGAAATTATATACATCATAACTAATGCATATGAGCTAATCATCAGAAGAAAGGGTAAAGTCAATGGGATCAAGAAAGACCTGGAGGGATAAGAAAAGTCAAAACCCTGAAAGGACCGGTCGCTTCTTTACCGTAGCTTTTTACAACCAATAAAACTTTTCAAGTCCTTAATGATGTCAACACAATGGACCTGTCTGGGAATGGCCAGCATTATGCTTTTTGGTTTCTAATTCTCATTTAGCTTACATTTTTACTGTAAAATTTCAGATACGTGTCACCTGAAATCATATTGAACAAAGGTCATGATCAAGCCGCCGATTACTGGGCGTTGGGTTAGTTTAATTTCGTTTTTGTTGAAGATTTTCTTTCATTTTTGCTTAGGATGTTAATGAAAGTACTAGCTGAGTTGATTTTTTTCTGCAAATTGAAAGATACAAGGAGATTTAATTCTTTGAATTTCGTTAAGGTAAATGTTCATTGTTGTAGACAGGTTTTCAATCTTTGCCACTTCGTTTCAACAAAGAATTCCTTTTTTCCAGGGATATACATATGTGAGCTCATGCTCGGACGGCCACCCTTCCAAGCGAGTGATCCTATGAAGACTTACACTCTTATTCTAAAAGGAGTCGATGCTCTTGAAATTCCTAATCGGTAAGTCTTCGAAGCTACCGCGTGAATTTACCATGCCAGTTTCTGAAAGTGAGATGTTTCAGCCGAATTGGAAAGACCGCAACTGCCTTGGTAAAGAAATTATGTCGGGACAACCCAGGAGAACGATTAGGTTCTGGATCCGGTGGCGTAAACGACATTCGTAAACATCGCTGGTTCATGGGCTTCGACTGGGAGGGTTTGCGGTCCCGTGTACTCAAAGCTCCTATACTTCCAAAGGTACTTCTGCTTTCCCTTTTCTCTTTTTTTTTTTGGTCTGCTTTTCATTTTCTTTGATTCAGGTGTCAAATCCAGCAGACGTTACTAACTTTGACAATTATCCCCCTGATCAGGACGTACCACCGGACGAGTTTTCCGGATGGGATGAAGGTTTTTAGAAGAACAGCATCAGTAGCAGCCGAATTCCAATGCCTCCCATTGTGGTGTACAATACCGCGCCGTGTATGTTTCACTGTTCTTTTCATTTTGTTTAGAATTTGCATATGTATATAATAATTATTTAATGTTAGAAATGGCTGACATCCATCTTTTAGTTAGATTCTTGTTGTAATTGTCATAAATTAGCTTGTTTCTTCGTGTAACAGTAGAATTCTAGTCTTGTGAACTTCTTTTTCTTCATATTTTCAACTTTTTTCATTACATTTGATTTAATTGTGATTTTTTGAGATTGTTATTGTTTCTCGTTCAGGCTTAAGCGAGAATTTATCATCATAGTGAGCACGCGACAACCTCTTCCCTTCTTCCTTCGCTGTCTTGATCTTTACTTATCTGCGTTTTCTTCATATTTTCTCATCGTTTCTGTTCATGCTCCTCTTGTGCCCTTTTTGCCGGTCAATTTTTTTTAATTATTATTATCACTATTGCGTAATCTGCCATTATGTTGTCGCGCTATGATATCGTACACCCGGTAGTGGCGATGGGCACAATTGTCCTTATTATTATTATTGTTGTTTTCTTTTGTTTGTCGTGTACTATGCGCGCGGAGAGTGGAAATCACCTCATTTCTTTATTTAACTAATCGCATGTGTCCAGCCAAATGTACACTCAGAAGCCGCTTTTTAACGTTAATAAAATTCTATGAGATCATTTCGCTAACCTTTGTGTTGGTGCTTGCCGTTGATACGTATTGGCTCTTGTCGAAGTGAATTAAGCGGGCGGAACCGAGTAGTGACCCCAATCAGTCAAATCACTGTATTGCCGTTTATTTATACTCTTTTTTT